ATCAAGCTATAATTACAGTAATAATAAGCGATGGCACATGTGTTCGCGAAATGGGATTAGTCATCGTAAATTAAGTAATGACGCTAATACGTACATGCTTTGTCATATGACATGATGACACCAGGTGTCAATAAACGGCAGGAATCAAGCTATAATTACAGTAATAATAAGCGATGGCATGTGTTCGCGAAATGGGATTAGTCATCGTAAATTGAGTAATGACACAAGGTGTTCGCAAACTGAATGAACCACGCACTAGTCATCGTAAATCAAGTAATGACACAAGGTGTTCGCTAACTGAATGAACCACGCACTGGTGATTGTAAATCAAGTATTGACACAAGGTGTTCGCAAACTGAATGAACCACGCACTAGTCATCGTAAATCAAGTAATGACACAAGGTGTTCGCGAACCGGATGGATCCAGGGGGCCAAGTGTTCGCTAAACGGATGAGTCACGCATTAACTATACTAATATCTAAATTATGACACAAGGTGTTCGCGAACCGGATGGATCCAGGGGGCCAAGTGTTCGCTAAACGGAGGAGTCACGCATTGACTATACTAATATCTAAATTATGACACAAGGTGTTCGCGAACCGGATGGATCCAGGGGGCCAAGTGTTCGCTAAACGGAGGAGTCACGCATTGACTATACTAATATTTAAATGATGACACAAGGTGTTCGCGAACCGGATGGATCCAAGGGGCTAAGTGTTCGCTAAACGGATGAGTCACGCATTGACTATACTTATATTTACATGATGACACCGGGTGTTGCATGTGCAAAGTTTTGTAAATTTTGTTTTGCATGTGTAAATCATTAATGCTTGTAAGCATTTGAATGCGTCGCTTACGATTTTGCCTAAACTCTGATTCTTTTCAAGTGACACACACACGAGCTTGAATACCCCTGAGGTACCGGCGGTTTGACTTGATAACACTTCAAATGAAACACTTCTAACATTGGTCCAGATAAGGAAACTATGATGTCGCTATGGCGTCATGTTGTTTCACCTAATTAGATGTACACACGTATTGTATTATCAGAAACGTCAAACGTAATTATTCGTGTTTTCTGTGATCGCCGACAATGTTGCTAATGATTATTCTTTAACCGAGTTTTGCTTGCCGGGCATAAAGCCTGATCAAGTTGCACTGTCCACAAACGTTACGTGCGCATCATCCAACAAGATCAGATACTTTTGTATATTGTGAACTGAGCTTTTTCTTTGTGTTATTTCATGTTTCAACTTGTGAAAGATAAATAACGTGCCAGCTTACTCAAATATTTGTTAAAACGATAATTTAATATAAAAGCTTAATGATAACCGTAATTGTTAAAAAAACATAGAATTGCAAAACAATGAACTTTCTTTTCAAAACTTGTGGATTTTTTAAAGGATATGGTATTGCTAGTGTGACTCATTATTCTTCGAGGTTTTGTATCGGTGGATATTCATAATAACTAGAAAAGTGGCCATCTTCATAGTCATTGTTACGAGGTGGTACCGTTGGAAAGCAGTAATCAATATATGCATTAACTAAAATACTTTCTGGAATAATATATTTGTATACGTGCGTGAGTGAGCAATTCTACAGTGGATACCAAGAATGTACTTTATACTTTGTAACCAAAACCCCTTCGGCTGTGACTATAGAACGTTTTAACCACTCGGCGCCTGTCACCGGGGCGTTGATTGCCTCATGTTACGGTCTTGTGAGTGCTCGGTTCCTGGCTTTATTTCCGGCGCTGCTCGGCAATGTCCGGCGGTCGCTATCCTACAGTGTTAGTACATTTTGTGTCAGAGATTTAGTGGCCCGAATATTTCATTCTCTTGTAATCTAATGGCACTCTCAAACCATGTTTTGACTGGATGTAGTTTATCTGTTATATTTTCGCCACCGTATTCTTGTCTTTGAAAGGCATTAAGAAACGATACAGATAAGGAAGAGAATATATGGATATCAACTTCTTTATTATGAGGAACACAAGGTTTCGGAGTATATGCTTACTCCTTCATCATTCACCTGATAAAGAAGTAAGTATATACTAGAAAACATTGTGTTCCTCATAATAAAGAAGTTGACTTCCATATATTCTCTTCCTTACCGTATTCTTGTATTAAAAATGTTTTTGTAACTGATTTTCACAAATTACACTCAGATATTTCTCATGTATTCATGGTCATTTTTGCCTCATCAATAATTGTAAATAGCTTATTGTATATCTTTAATGGTACAGTTGGATAGCTCATGTTCAGCGCTATATTTTGAATGTTACAACTCCAGTATGGCTATAGTAGTTAGTTTGCTGTTAGTGTTATCCCCTTGTGTAGAAACACACGTTGGCTTGGCACCCCTGTGTGTGTGGCACCGGGGTGTGTGGCGCCGGGTGGCCCTGTCGTCTAAGGCGCCGTGATTCGCTGTGCAGAGTTGCGTCCTATGCATACCCGTGCGCATGGGTTTCACTGAAGTGATAAACGTCTGCATCACTTTGGGCTCACATCCCACACTAAGCTGACACTCAGTGATATAACTGGAATACTGTTAAAAGCAAACCAAACTCACCCACCTTTATCAGTCAAATTGTCTGAATTTTTAGTCTATTAAGACTAGTTGATATTCAGACGTAATAGTCTATTTTGTAATCTAAGTGACTTATTCAAGGGATAGGCTCTCTGTGTTTATTTCCCGTTATTTAACCCAGCCGAGGTTATTCACTCATTAAAGTGTTGAGTTAACTGACTCAGGTGTTAATTGGTCTCAGCCGACTAAATTGTCTGTCTACGCATCTGGGCCCTGTTCCACAAAGCGATCTTAGCGCTAAGGTGTTCGTAACTCCCATACTTTAACACTGGCTTACGATCATCGTAGTGCTAAGGTGATCGTAACTCCCATACTTTAACATAGGCTTACAATCATCGTAGCGCTAAGGTGATCGTAACTCCCATACTTTAACATAGGCTTACAATCATCGTAGCACTAAGGTGATCGTAACTCCCATACTTTAACATTAGCTTACGACAGTCGTAGCGCTAAGGTGATCGTAACTCCCATACTTTAACATAGGCTTACAATCATCGTAGCGCTAAGGTGATCGTAACTCCCATACTTTAACATTAGCTTACGACAGTCGTAGCGCTAAGGTGATCGTAACTCCCATACTTTAACATAGGCTTACAATCATCGTAGCGCTAAGGTGATCGTAACTCCCATACTTTAACATTAGCTTACGACAGTCGTAGCGCTAAGGTGATCGTAACTCCCATACTTTAACATAGGCTTACAATCATCGTAGCGCTAAGGTGATCGTAACTCCCATACTTTAACATTAGCTTACGACAGTCGTAGCGCTAAGGTGATCGTAACTCCCATACTTTAACATAGGCTTACAATCATCGTAGCGCTAAGGTGATCGTAACTCCCATACTTTAACATTAGCTTACGACAGTCGTAGCGCTAAGGTGATCGTAACTCCCATACTTTAACATAGGCTTACAATCATCGTAGAGCTAAGGTGATTGTAACTCCCATACTTTAACATAGGCTTACAATCATCGTAGCGCTAAGGTGATCGTAACTCCCATACTTTAACATAGGCTTACGACAGTCGTAGTGCTAAGGTGATCGTAACTCCCATACTTTAACATAGGCTTACGACAGTCGTAGTGCTAAGGTGATCCTAACTCCCATACTTTAACACAGGCTTACGACAGTCGTAGCGCTAAGGTGATCGTAACTCCCATACTTTAACATAGGCTTACGACAGTCGTAGTGCTACGTTTGCTTTGGGGAACGGGGCCCTGGTGGGTATCTCGTGTTGTTTTAGTTACTCCTTGTATTGCTGTAATACAGTTGTTTAGCTATGCCGGTTGTATAATAGTGATAACTGTTAACTGTTAAATAGTGTTTATCTGATCCTTTATTGTCATTTATTTGTACAACTAGCCTTTATTAATAAACATCTGAACCTTTTACCATGTTTTTATTATGACTTTATTCTCTGTTCCGTTCTCTAGCTCCGTGACAGCGTTTACGTTACATTATGTTTGTCATTGATTTACAAGATGGCTAGCTGTGGCAATAAACACAGGAACATGGTACAGGTCAAAATAGGGAATTGCATCGGACATCTTGTTTTTGTCCCTGATGCGTCTAATTTGAAAACGTCCACCTCATTTCGACCACAAAACTTTATGAAAGCTTTACTGTGGTCTTGAATGTTGTAACCTTGATCAAACACCTTTTGATGAAGAGACGTATGACGCTCTTTATTTCTTAGCAGAAAGAGTATGCTTGATAGTATCTCAAAAGTTGTGAAATGTAGACCCTGGACTACTGCAGGACATAAAGGTTTAGTTGCCTATTGGAAAGTCATCACTCTTGTCAAACAGTCTTGTGGGGTATATAACTGTGCTCTGGAATAATGGTATCTTACAAACATAATTATTTTCCACATGCGTGACATTAGAAAGACTGCACCTTGACACATGTTATGTTAAACTAAAGCAGTACAGCCTTGATCATTCCAATTTGAAAATTCTGGTGATTTATACGATTGACCTTGTTGTTCTGAGCAAGATGTAGTAGTAGATATGGTTGATTCGCCACAGTTTGGGGAGTAAGGACAAAAGCCTGTTGGCGCCAAAGGGTGAAACCGATATCACAAGATCGTTTAAGATCATTTGGTAGCAATCTAATTCTTTATTAGTCCCAAGGAAGTAGTTACTTAGAATTATAATATATAATATACTTTGGTGTTAGATTTTCAGGACTGATACACATCAATGTTGGAAGACTATGAAATGAGTTATGTGCTATGGGGCATTGCACATCAGCTGTTTTGAATGAGTGAGTGAGTGAGTGAGTCGGGTTTAAGGCCGCTTTTAACAGTGTTCCAGTTATTCACGGCGTGTCAGCTTAATGTGGGAGGAAAGCCCGAAGTGATGCAGGTTTAAGACATTTACCACTTCGGTGAAACCCACGAGCACGGGTATGGTGCTGACAAACCTAGGACATAATCAAGGCGAACCGGGATTCGAACAAACAATCATCGGTTTCTGGTGCGCCCAAGGGACGCAACTCTGCACAGCGAATTTCGGCGCCTGTTCTGAATGATGAATGAGTTCATGAATGACGGTTTATCTGTAATTCCTGAGAACGCGTTGGTTTTCAAATTTAGATTTCTCGAATATCCATCTTTGATTCAAATTTCCATCGCACGTCGCCATTTGGAGAGATGAGGTCTCCCCAACTGTTAGACATTTGTCAAACGTCTTCAGGTAGAGAGTATGGTCCTGAAACAGACAAAATCAACATTGTTTAATAATTGCACATGAAGTGTAGGTCACTAGCTCTACTGTAATCAACTTTACATTAAATAATCATCTTGACACACTAAAAAGCAAGATATGAATGGTTCTGAAGCCCCGAGTAAAAATATAAACATAAACAAACATATGTTTTGTTTGTTTGTTGTTTGATTCCGCTCTTAGCAATATGCCAGCTATATGAAGGGGGTCTGTAAATAATCGAATCTGGGCCAGACAATCCAGTGATTGACATCATGAGCATTGATCCACACAATTTTGATACAATGACATGCATCAACGAAGTCAGCGAGCCTGACCAATCGATCCCGTTTTTCGCCTCTTAGGACAAACATAGTCGCTTTTTACGGCAAGCATGGGTTGCTGAAGACCTATTCTGCCCCGGACCTTCACGGGTTATATTGTTTAGAATGTATGTAACCTAGGGAATCGCTAAATTGGTGATACAGTCTTGTCCTAACAACTTAATTATTCAAAACTCTTTAGGGAAATTGTTGACTGACGTTTTGTATTACTTTTTCATAATAGTGTTTATTCAGGGGAACAATTGACTTGCTCTTGCATGTGTTTGTAACGGGGGCCACCAGTGAGTTAGGAACACCTGGTTTCATCACTGTTTGATAGTGATTCATAAACACACCCTTATGATATTGTCGGCACAATCGACTCTGCTTTTGGCAGATATTTCTTATGAATATGGAAAGGGTTTTGTCGCCTTTAATTAATAATTTACAATGGAGGAGTATAAAGTGATATTGCTTAAGCGGACCAAGGCAGTTGAGAATCGATATAATTCACATATGTTAATGAGTGTTGTATAACGCCACACCTACAGTCGGGAATATTCCAACCATAGAAAGACGTCCTGTAAATGTGCGTGTTTGGACGAGACAAACCAGTGGTTGATGTTGTGAGCAATCAACCAAATCACCGAGTCTGACCTCCAATCAACCAAATCACCGAGTCTGACCTCCAATCAACCAAATCACCGAGCCTGACCTCCAATCCATTTTGTAGTACTGGAGGACAAGCAAAGCTTTCTGAGAACATGTTCTATTCCCCATTCCTCACAGGTTGTGTTGACAAGAGCACATGGATAAAGACATGTATTGACATGTAATAAAATCAATATTGACACAATGTAGGTGCCTAAAGATGAAATAACCAGTTGAATTGTCAAAAAGAATTAAAAAAATGAAAATATTTTTTAATTAATGTAGACACAGAAAAGAACTTAGGACCCGCTTTAAACAAAACACTTAAAAGCTACACTACTGTTCAGGAAAAAATCTAAAACACACAAACACAATGCATCAAAAGAGAAGGTTTTCAACGATGACTCGCGTGCTGTTTCAGAGTATCAAAGGAACTGTTCTTGGAACCCACAGCTTACATTCAGCATCCACATCATAGAAAACGGAAACAGAGGAAGCCAAATTTCTTTCGGTGAATCTTAAATGTGGAACGTCTTGAGATGCTATGATATGGTGTTTGGATAGACATACGTGTATGTCACACATTGTTGTTAGTGCTACAGGTGTTTGGATACACATACGTGTATGTCATACATTGTTGTTAGTGCTACAGGTGTTTGGATACACATACATATATGTCATACATTGTTGTTAGTGCTACAGGTGTTTGGATACACATACGTGTATGTCATACATTGTTGTTAGTGCTACAGGTGTTTGGATACACATACGTGTATGTCATACATTGTTGTTAGTGCTACAGGTGTTTGGATACACATACGTGTGTGTCATACATTGTTGTTAGTGCTACAGGTGTTTGGATACACATACGTGTATGTCATACATTGTTGTTAGCGCTACAGGTGTTTGGATACACATACGTGTATGTCATACATTGTTGTTAGTGCTACAGGTGTTTGGATACACATACATGTATGTCATACATTGTTGTTAGTGCTACAGGTGTTTGGATACACATACATGTATGTCACACATTGTTGTTAGTGCTACAGGTGTTTGGATACACATACATGTATGTCATACATTGTTGTTAGTGCTACAGGTGTTTGGATACACATACATGTATGTCACACATTGTTGTTAGTGCTACAGGTGTTTGGATACACATACATGTATGTCATACATTGTTGTTAGTGCTACAGGTGTTTGGATACACATACATGTATGTCACACATTGTTGTTAGTGCTACAGGTGTTTGGATACACATACGTGTATGTCATACATAGTTGTTAGTGCTACAGGAGCAGTGCTTATTTTGGTAAATATTTAGAACGCTGAAATGGACGTTGGGTTGTCAAGTGGTTAAAGCATCTGCTCGTAACGCCGACAGCTCAGGTTTGATTGGCAACATTGGTACAATCGCAGCAAAAGATATGTTACGAAGTTTTGGATCGAAAAGATAAGGGAATATTACGATGTTTAGTATGACCTTATAGTATCGCTTCTCTATATTATCGCGGTATCGGTAAATCTCGTAATCCATACCCTCTGTTGACTGTTAACTTATGCAAATCTCAGCACGATATTTCATCGCATGATCGAATATATGACTCGTCGCGCTATGTCACGGCTACTCGTTAGTATACACGTTTACATTTTTATGATAGTTTCTGGAATGTTTTTGAAGTGTAATTACCCTACCTACATTCGAAATTGGTTATAAAAGAATCCACTTGTTCGGACGATGTCCCTTGACCCACAATAGGTGGTATAAATACTGATTATGCATAATTTAAAACAGGAAGTGATGTAACCCTCATCATCCAAAAGTATCACACCACAAAAAAGTGATATAGAGTTGCCCGCCCTTGATTCACTAATGACAAACTCGGCAAAGAAAATCAACATCGCTGAATCCTAACTGATGTGTCATAAACATTGAACAGAGAACAAGAAGTCCCTAAGTCAACAGCATTTAAATAGAAACATTTGCACGATCTCATAACTATGATTCTTGTCAAGAAGAGATGAGAATATTTGACTGGTATGTCAATTATGATTTTGTTTGTTTGTTGTTTAAAGCTGCACTCAGCAATATTCCAGCTATATGACGGTGGTCTGTAAATGATTGAGTCTGGACCAGACAATCCAGTGATTGACACCATGAGCATCAAACCACGCCATTGGGATACGATGGCATGCATCAACCAAGTCAGCGAGCCTGACCACCCAATCCCGTTAGTCGCCTCTTACAACAAGCATAGTCACCTGTTACAGCAAGCTCGAATTGCTGAAGACCTATTATACTCCGGATCTTCACGGGTCATGTCAATTATGAATAAAAGTATAAACATATCGTATCATGAATATGATAATGCAATGTAAAGGGATGTGTTTTGGTCACGTTACACGTCGTCCACCATAACCTTGCAGCAACATAACAAAACACATATTTAATGTTGTGGCTATGTTATTTTCTAACATTCATCATCACAACAAACAAGAAACGATGTGACAACGTTGTACCCATGTGTTGTTTTGTTTGCTGAGATGTCTGAAGCCCATGGGAATGTTATATTGCATGAGGGGTGTAAAAGTGTGTTTTAACCCAGCTCATCACCAGTACTCCACATTATGAGAAGGTGAGTAGCGTTATAAGCCGCATTTGACATTTCCTGGCAATATCATGACGGGGGACACCAATGCATGCTTTGACCACAAGGCTCACTCCGCAATACAGATTCAAATACCTGCACATTATAACCATTGTGATGCTACAACATTGACACCGGGTGTTCGCGAAACAGACGAGTCACGCATCACACATTCTAAGCACTCTAATCTGTCACTGCAGTTTCGGCTTTTCTATGGAAGCGTATTAGTGCCACAGTCATTTTTCTATCATCTACAAAGATACTACTTTCCTCTACGTAGATGAGACTTACATCTACGAAGATACTACTTTCATCTACGTAGATGACACTGTGTCACTAATAGGCTTCCTACATACAAATATTCGTGTTTGAATAACCCTAAGGTTCGAGCGTTTTGATTTGATATTAAACGTGCACTATTAATAACATGTCGTATGAATGTATGTCGCTCACACCTCATAATGTGTCTTTGCATATCTGGTAGCTATTGTAATTTGATCCCTCTAATGTCAGTATAGAATGCGTGATGTCGTATGAATGTATGTCGCTCACACCTCATAATGTGTCTTTGCATATCTGGTAGCTATTGTAATTTGATCCCTCTAATGTCAGTATAAAATGCGTGATCAGAGGGGTGGGTTGCTCTTCTCTTGGTCCAGACTGTCACAATGACAAATGACGTTAGTAACTGTAGCATTATTGCCAATTTGTGCAGTCTACAAAATTATTCAAATATCGATCAGTAACTATCATTTTCAAGCTCATTGTGGTTTATCATTGTAACGCCAAAGGGAATTTGGCGTTAAACAGTGTTCTATGACCTGACGATATATATTTAATGGAATATTATTTCATTCTACTTGTCAAATCGTCTATTATAAGCAAGTAATTAATAATGGATTACATACAGTAACACTGTAGAAAGTCGACACATGCATGACACAATAGAAAGTCGACACATGCATGACACAGTAGAAAGTCGACACATGCATGACACTGAAGAAAGTCGACACATGCATGACACAACAGAAAGTCGACACATGCCTCACACTGGACAAAGACGACAAGTGAGGGTACCAACCCCCTCCTACCCTGAATCCTGAATACCATGTAATAGCTCATCCCAATATCCCGAATATTACTTCAGAAAAATCACAAAGCATTGAGAATAGGGTGCTACTGGAAGTTAAATAAATGAAAACAAATATCGAAAATATGCTTAATTATAAAGGAAATGTTTACGTTCATCGTTATTTGTTTTCAAATGCTATTGTCTTTGCATCCCGCTTACAACACTGCTGAGTCATCAATACTCTCTAAATAGATACCCGAATCCCACGTGACAAAAGTATAATGCACATTTAAGCACATCAATAC